AGTCTGATTCACCGATCTCGTAGGAATATTAGAATGCTTTCAGATCACAAATCATGTTATCTTCTTACGACAATGCTGCCCAATGAATTCAACTTATGGTATAAGTCAGCTGGAAATGCATTTTAACTTATAATACTTGAACTTTTTGTAGGGTACTTTAGTGTCCCCAAACTCCCAGTTTGATTACTTACTCAACTGGCGCCTTTAGCTTCCACACGCCTTTTGCGTAATCCCGAGGAGGCCATTACGGCTCCGATTTTCTTTTTGAACGAAGATCGTTTGCCCCATTTGAATGTCGAGTTCCAGATAGAAATTACTGACTCAAATCAGTCTTCAGCCAAAAGGAAGTTAAACTGGAGGCGCCAGTTACGGAAGGGGCAAGTCGCTTGGGATCCAAGTTACAGTGGAGCTCCAGTGACCTACACGAGACATGGACCAGCACCTGGTATACAAGTGCCAGGGAAGTTTCCGAGGGTCTGCTTGTTGTGAGATTTACTCAAGTGTCATGGAATTCCATCAGCTCTATATAAGGAGAAACAGCGCCTCACTAAGGTCACGAATCCTTAAAATACAAACCTTTCGCACCTTAGACCAACGGATGAAAATGGAGATTGGGTGTCTGTGGCGCTGTGAGTTTTGAAGTCAGTCTGACTTTGCTGGAATAAGCTGCAGGATCTGCAAGGAACTGAGGACTCGGACTTGCTGTATTCGATTTAAGTTGCGACGATTTCGGGGACCTCTCCACTGGCAGAAGTTTCCATTGTCTGCGATCAAAGTACTTCGCGCCGGATGGGGAGGTACTTGCCTTTGAAGTACTGTTCATAGCTTAATATATTATTTGGGTAATTGTTAAGGTATAAATAGTTCAACATTTGAATCCATCAATTTTCACTGTTTGATTTGGGCGGCGGAAACATCCAAAATGATTCTTGCAAGAACACAATGGGAATCAGTTTTAGAATGTAAACTGTTTATCTGGGCTGCGAAAAATCCCAATTTTCAAGGCACGGGTATTTTCAAAACAATTTCGATTTGCAAGCAAAAAATTATTTTTAATAGTGCGTGCGATAAACTAAATCATTTGTGAACCAGGTTTTCCCAACAAGTGGGTTCTATTTTTACTTACTGAAATAAATCTAAGTATCCATATTTCACAATTCTAATCTTGAAGCGCGGTTTCCAATGTTTGAGATTCTTGTTACTTTATTTTTTGTTGTTTTTTGGTCTCCAACGTTTTGACCTGCGTCTGCCTCGCCCGCAATCGTCGTCATTAACGCTGTGCCCTCTCAATTAAGTCAAGTTACGAGAATAAAGTACAAGCCAGCAATGGAAGCTAACGTTTCAAGACTCGACTCTAGTCTCTGATCTCGAGTCATTTTCCCTCTAAGCTCTGCCTCAAACTTTTGTCGTCGGTTTGGGTTTTGGTTTCTGTTCGGTTCCGTTCCATTTCAAGTCTCCAGTTCGTTTCGTTTGATACTGGTCCTGCGGACAATGTCTACCAGAGATATTTTCCCGGCACCCTTGAAAGGCTGGATCCCCAGTTTACGTTGTCGCGATGCCTCTTTTAATGGCACTGCAAGCTACCTCCAATTTAGTCACTACTACTGACTCTTCGGTTACATAAGAAGGTTAGTAAGGGGAGTGGATTTTTAGAAACTAATGAAATAAGAGAAGAGGTGCTAAAAAACGAATGCAAATCCCGTCTGTGGAATGAAATTAGAATTTCAAGTTGAAAGGTTAAACATATTTTGCCATTGAAAGATTTTCAAGATTCAGTGTCTTAACTGTGTGTTTCATTTTTGTTTATATTTAAAAGTATAGCAATATAAACCACCACTTTTTGAGTTGAAATAAGTTCCAAATAAACATAAAAAGTTTATTTTTGTATTATTTCTGATATCATCAAGCATCGGCATATAACCTAACACAACATTTGATTAGCATTCGCCAAATTTACAAACGAATGAGAACAAAGCATGCTAATCAAGTTACATAAATTTGTGATTCCAAAACCAAAAGGCTAGGACTCAATTCAGTTCAGCTTGCCCCAGTGCTTATCTCTTGAAACTGAGAGCTGAAGGCTAAAGCACTAGTTCTATAGAGGTCAGTGGCTTATCGGACAAGTTTTTTTTTCAAAATAACACAGAGAGTCTGGCTGGCTCTCCCGCAGAGATTTCACTCGACGAAGCGATAAATAGCAGCTTCTTGGACTATGGGTTAACAAACTAATTAGAGCGGAGGTTAACTTGCAAACTGTAACAATGAGGTAATTATGAAATGAATATGCCAAAATAAGCAGTTAGTTGATTAAATTGATCTACTCTGATCCGTAACTTAGTCGAGGTTAAGTCGATAAAAAGCCGATCCCACGCATTCGAAATGAAAACCAGAGCGTTCAACACACAGCGAGTCCAGCACGACAACTGCCCCGCTAGCGGACGCTGACTTGGCACCAGCAGCGATCCAAACAAGTGGCAAGCAGAGCACCAAGTGACTCAGCAGAGCTGCACAGTGGCCTCAGGCTTGGGGAATATTAGGTAAAAATTTATTTTATTTAAAGTAATACACTAAATCTTCAAAAGGCTGTACAAAATGAAAATTTTAGAGGTGAAAAAGCCTGACTACAAAGGAAACACAACAACAAACTATCCTCATATATGACTTTTAGTTCATATCAATTATGTTTTAAATTTTTGGCACATCTCGACCCACTGTGCTCTGCACCCAAGTCAGACAACAATAAACCGCTCGCTGGGCTCACACTGTTGGCGTTCAATTAAGCCACTGAAGTCGACGATGGATCAGTCTCCGGGAGGAGTTGATGGTGGTCAGGGGGATCTCGGCTCTCGAGTAGTTCCGGCGAGAGCGAGAGTGTTGGGTGTCAGATCTCAGTGCCCAGATAGTGTCTCACAGCAATGCCTCTCTGAATCTCTGATTATTTGTCATTCGAGTGCAGCTTATGTCGTACGTCTCGTGCATATTAAAATAATGTGCCACGCTTAAATTTAAATTGCGAATTTTCCAGGCCTGGGCAAGCTGCTTAATCGATCTGGAAATTGGTGTACAATTCTGCACCCTTGATCTACGGCTATGCCGGAATCCGTGGTGAAAAGCCTCAGGAGCGTACAGTCTGCAGGAGAACCTGGATATCTACAACCATCAGTTCTCCAGTGACCGCCCTTAAGAGTACCCCCATCCTGAAGGTTCTATTTTTGGGCGGTGATCACGATATCGATATTGAACATCCCAACAAATATATCCAACTGTTGGAGGCGCGAAGGTTCAACAAGTTGGATTTATCCGATCGGCCTATGACTTGGTGAAGAACTACGGTTTTGATGGCTTGGATCTGGCCTATCAGTTCCCCAAGAACAAGCCCAGGAAGGTTCACGGTGAATTGGGCTCGGCCTGGAAGAGTATTAAGAAGCTGTTTACCGGAGATTTCATCGTGGATCCGCAAGCCGCACTTCATAAGGAACAGTTTACTGCTTTTGTAAGGGATGTCAAGGACTCCCTACGAGCTGATGGCTTCCTTCTCAGCCTGACTGTATTGCCCAATGTCAACTCTACGTGTAAGTTCAATAATTTAAAAATATTTTATTCTCTTCAATAACCCAATTATAACTTCAGGGTACTTTGACATTCCCGCTCTGAATGGCCTTGTGGACTTTGTGAACCTGGCTGCCTTTGATTTCCTCACTCCTCTTCGCAACCCACAGGAGGCGGATTATAGCGCCCCCATCTATCATCCCGATGGATCGAAGGATCGCTTAGCCCACCTCAATGCTGATTTCCAGGTGGATTACTGGCTGCGTCAGGGATTCCCATCGAACAAGATTAACCTGGGAGTGGCTACCTATGGAAATGCCTGGAAACTGAGCAGCGAGTCTGGTCTCGATGGAGTTCCAGTTGTGCCTCATACCAAAGGTGTAGCTCCCGAGGGTGTTCAGTCCCAGACACCTGGCATTCTTAGCTATGCCGAGATCTGCGGAAAGTTGTCCAATCCCCAAAATCAATTCCTCAAGGGCAACGATTCACCGCTGCGAAGGATTTCTGATCCTACCAAAAGATTCGGTGGTATCGCCTATCGTCCTGTAGATGGTCCAATAACCGAAGGCATCTGGGTGAGCTACGATGATCCCGATTCGGCCTCCAATAAGGCAGCCTACGCCCGTGCCAAGAACCTAGGAGGCGTGGCTCTGTTCGATTTGAGCTATGATGATTTCCGTGGACAGTGCACAGGGGATAAGTATCCCATTCTGCGGGCCATCAAATATCGTCTTTAAATACCAAAAAAAAAAGTAATTTTTATGGAAGAAAACTACAAATAAATAATGATTTATAATGTCTAATTGTATTGGAAGAGTATTTTTGGTTTAATGGAAAAATCAAATTCTTATCTGTGTCAAATTTTGAACGCCAATTTTTAAAAAGCATATTTTTAAAAGCTTTTCTGTATGATTGAACATCTTATCCGCCTCTGTTTGTAATATTTATTTATTTTGCACTTATTCGCTAAGTATCTACATTTTATTGGACCTTGAAAACACATTAATAATCTACTTATACTCCTCCACAATCCCTTAATCGTTCTCCACATAATTATTTACATATTTTTTGGGCATGAGTAACGTAGCGACCTTGCTAATTCGTCAACACCTTATAAAGTGCAGATTTATCACTGGGTGTGCACCCATAAATACTCGTAGATTTAGCCCCTTTTTAAACTATGAGTCGGTGGGCATTATCTCTAGTCAGAGGTATTATCTCTTTCTTTTTTCTGTAAATTACCGAGCCGAGAGGTGATCTCATTGAACCCGATGTCAGATGCCACTTAAGACAAACAATTTTGTTGAATTTCGTTGATAATAAGCCCCACGAATGGCGTTTGCCATTGTTCGCCGGGGGTTTCGGTTCGTTACGGGGGAATCGGACGGAGGTGATTCCACTGAAAAGCTCCACAGCCCATATTTATTCCAATTCCCAAGTGCTAAGTGTCATTTCGTATTCAGTTTGGTTTCGCATCTCGTCGGCGACGGACTGTTACAAATAATACCTCCGAGGTCTATAGTGTTTTTAGTGGATTTTGATTTTGTAGAGCTCTCTGATTAATCTCTCTCTACAAAGATGACTGGCTCTCTTTGGCTCAGTTTGGCACTGAGTCTGGCCGTATTAGCTCAGTACAATGTGAGCGCCGCTCCTAATCTGGTTTGTTTCTATGACTCTCAGGGCTTCCAGCGTCAGGGTAAGTTTTCTAATTCGGAGAAACATATAATTTATAAAGGTTTACTAATTGTTTATTTTCCATTCAAGGGCTGGCTCAGTTCTCGATGACCGATATGGAACTGGCCCTGCAATTTTGCACCCATTTGATCTACGGCTATGCTGGTGTTAATGCCGATAACTACGAAATGCAGAGCATCAACAAGAGATTGGACCTGGAGCAGCGTCATCTGGCCCAGGTTTCCGCCCTGAAGGAGCGTTATCCCCACATCAAGTTCCTTTTGAGTGTGGGTGGAGATGCAGATCAGAACGATGGCAATCAGTACATAAAACTCTTGGAATCGGGTCAACAGGGTCATAGGCGATTCATTGAATCCGCTCGTGATTTAATAAGGCGTTACAATTTCGATGGCCTGGACTTAGCCCTGCAACTCCCCAGGAATAAGCCACGTAAAGTCCACGGCGATGTTGGTTCCGCCTGGAAGAGCTTTAAAAAGTTTTTCACCGGCGATTTCGTTGTGGACACCGAATCGGAAACCCACAAAGGACAGGTGACTGCCCTGATCAAGGATTTGAATGCCGCTCTTAAGCAAAATGATCTGCTTCTGAGTCTCACTGTTTTGCCAAATGTTAACTCAAGCTGTAAGTATAAGCAATTATCTTAATTATTCCGACTAACCGGTGTAATTTGATGAGTCAGAAAAGCATTCAGATTACGTCAATGATAAAACAACCTGACTTAGTTGATATACAGCTGTTTACTCTTTATAAGCAACTGTTTTTACATTATATCGTAAATTAAAAGCGATGCGATTCCTATTTACCTTCATTAATGAATAATAAGAATTATAATTATAAGTCAAGCGCGATGCATATTTTTTGTTATATAAACTAACAAATTTATTCTTATAGGGTACTACGATGCCCCTTCGATCGCTCCCAGCTTGGACTTCATTAATCTGGGAACCTTTGACTTCCTCACCCCGCAACGTAATCCCGAGGAGGCGGACTTTACGGCTCCGACATACGAGGCCGTCGGACAGAATCGCTTGGGACACTACAATCTAAACTACCAAATGGAACACTGGCTGCTCCAGAGAGTTCCGGCTAATAAAATAAATATTGGTATTGCCACATATGGTAGATCCTGGAAGATGTCCAAGGATTCAGGGGACTCCGGAATGCCAGTGGTTGCTTCGACTGAAGGACCTGCTCCAGCAGGACCTCAGAGCAAAAAGGAGGGCCTTCTCAACTGGGCTGAGATTTGCCAGCTGATGCCGAACCCCAGTAATGCCAATGCCAGAGGAGCTGGTGCTCCGATCAAAAGAGTTTTAGATCCCACTAAACGCTATGGTAGCTATGCCTTCCGTGCCGCTGATGAGAATGGAGAGTATGGATTGTGGGTCAGCTACGACGATCCGGACTCGGCAGCCAGCAAGGCTCAATACGCCCGTGTCAAAAATCTTGGAGGAGTGGCTCTATTCGATTTAACCCAGGATGACTTCCGTGGTCAGTGCACCAACGATCGCTTCCCCATGCTGCGTGCCATCAAGTACCGACTTCTCTAAGCCAACTCCAGACTATAAAGACATCACCAGCACGCAAATGTCAACCAAATGGAAATCCAACAGAGGAAGGCGGCGCTGGGAGGGAACAACAAATGTCACCCGATCGGTGGCTTAAGGCCTCCTTCTGTGTCTGTCCCTTTTTGCAAATTAATTACAAAGTTGTAAACTAAAATGCACCGCAAATTAATTCGATGGGCTTGGTCCTCAAAGGGAGGAGGGGAATGATAATGTACTGAGAGAAAAATTAGGTTAAAAACAACAAAAACATTGCAACTATTTGATTAATCATCAAAATGATATTTTTATCAAAATTTCTCTAAACTATAGTAACTTTCACATAATTTTACAATTATTTCGAGATATCACCATAATCACTAGATTTTTCTTAGGTGCATCGATTGCCTTTTCTCTGGTTTAATTGCCCCTTTTGCATTGAATTGTTTAGCGCCCACGTCTGGGCGAGTCGGTCGCTTTATCATCTCGGACCCATCTTGGTCAAATGGCATTTTGCGGTGGTTTTTTCTTTGCCGATTTCCCTCTCTTTTTCTGCCCCAGCTCAGATTTACAGATTTCGCCATAGAGTTCGAACTGCTTAACTTGGCTTTGTGTAATTGGCGCTACATACGCGAAACTCCGAAAAAAAAACCCCGATTCGCGATCCATATGCGTACTCCACCGTGGCTGGACCGTGGAAGCCCCCACCCGGCCGACCGTGTGTTCCCCTTGTTTACAGAATTGCTGACATACCACCATGCAAAGGTTGCCACTACAGTGAACTGTGGCCACAAGGACCTGGTTCGGGGGTGTCTGGACCGACTGCCTCGACTGGCGACGACGACGACACGATGTAAGACAACTAAATTAAGTTATTGTTTCTTGGGCAAAACTAAAGGTTGTCATTGAACAGGGAATGCCCTTATATTGAGAGTTGACAGACTTTAAAATAAAATAAATAAATATTAAAATGAAAGCCTTATTAAAAAAATTATAATAATAACTAATAACTAATTATAAAATTAGTTTATTTTCAATATATTATGGATTAATGTTCCGTTTACAAATATTTTAGAACAACTTAGTAAACTCAAATACATCGTCCGTTTCGTTAAATAATTTACTAAAAATGCAACAATATTTTCTTTTTTTCTTTTTAATCTTTGAATATATAAGCTGATGATAATATAGAATTTTTAACCTTTGCATAAATACAATATTAAGTAAACACTACCCAATTCTAGGTACCGCAAAAATCCTTTACATTTATCTAATAATTTCTGGCCAACTGAAGAATTTCCTACTTATGAATATGCTGTGTGTCTGAATCTCCCACACTTCCTATACTCTAACCACTGTTAAGCAAATTCAAACCCTTGGAGCCTGCTGGAAGTCCTAGCTGCTATCTATGCGGCTTATCTGGGAATCGTGATCTTATTAAGCTGACTATACACTCGGAAATTATTTGCAATTGGCGCAATCCCTTATTGGAATGCAAAATATGCCATTAGTGGCAGAAGTCGAGACGTGGCCAGACTCAAGTAGCTTCCCAGACTTCAAGTTAAGGGCCTAAAGGGCATGGATTTTAGTTAGCTATATTGCCTGGTTCGTAAGAGAGAGGGGAGTTGGCATGAGCATGCCACTTGCATAGTGTACAAGTTGTAAACACGGCATTGTTTTGGCCACCGTTCCATAATATAAACTCCAAAACAGAACCTAAGTCTGAATGCACTCGGAAAAATCTGTTTAAAAAAACTTATGTTACGAAAAGTTCTCATGAGAAGTAATTTAATCTTCCATATTATTTTTCTTAAGTGCAAGCCGCTCGAATATATCGTTGATCGTGTTTCTAGGCTGGGGGCGAGGACGAAGACGAGGACAAAGCTGCAGGCCAGCTCCTGGGTTTTTGGCTTGTCGCCTCATCTAATTAAGGAGCATTTGGTCCACGGCGGCGTCTACAAGATCTGTTCATGATTATTGCCCCGGGCCATATCGCCGCCAGGAGCGCTCCCTGCGAATGACAAATATGCTGCTTTGCACCAGGGACTCCAACTTGGAGTCAGCGACTTCTGCTGTTTTCCAAGGAAGCCAGTCTCTTGGCTCTTTAAATAAAGATATTTTCGCCCTCATTACGCGCTGTGTCCTTTTGTTTATTTGCTGTGGTTTCCATTTTCCCCACTCCCATTTGCAGTTTCGTTTTTTTTTTCCTGTGGCCGATGAAGTGTCGCTGATTGCGCGTTGCATTGTTTTGGCCAGGTTGGGGGCAACCGAAAAAAAAGCGATGATGTCGATAAGAAAATGCATGTGGACTGGTCAGGGATTTGGGTTTGTTAGCCAACGATATGATAAGCTGACCGGTACGATAAAGATTTCCTTGGAAAGTTGCTATAGGTTGGATTTTTTCTCCTCACATTCGGGATTAGAATGACTAAGTATCTCAGGCTGTGGCGGCCTAACAATTTGGCTTATTCCCCCACAATGAACTTATTTTACTGCAGGCCAGGCCAGGTCTCGTTCTCCTTTTTTTTCTCCCACATTGTTATCGCTCTGTGCTTGCCTTGAGTTTGCATTTTTATTGCTTTGTTAATTTTAAATAAGCCACGCGACTTTATGTTCGTATATATGTATATATATGAGTCCGTATAAGGCAGTCGTCGTTAAGGGACTTCGTTAGAGAACTGGAGAACTTTAGCCACCAGGCCATCCGAATTGAGCTGTCTTCTCCTCCTGCAGTTCGTCCCGAAGATCGTTCTTGTCCAATTGTCAGCGGGTTGTCACACAAAATGATTTACAGATGACGATCATTGACGTGGACCATGGCCAAGTGGCGCCACAACACCGATGGATGCTTGTGGGAGAAGCTGGTAAGATAATTCCTAGGGATAAGCATAAGGAATTTTAAATTCTCTACATTAAATAAGACATTTCCACTGCAAATACCGAATATTACTTTTTATAAATAATCTAGCAACTTGAAAAAATCTTACAACTCAAGATTTTTGCTCGTATCTATTACTATTATGGAACAAGTCATTCATCTATCTTCATTAAATTAACTTATTAGATATCTCTGCTATTACCATCTCAACTTTGTACATATACCCTTCCCTTCCTTATAGGGCATAAGTAAATTCTCAGTCAGCATCGTGCAGAGCCGACATTCGTTTATAGATTTTTAACGCCCAGATCGTGAATTCGTCTGACCACAATTATTTTGAATACCAAAATAAAGGCTTTGGCTTTTTGTGCATTCTGTTTTTTTTTTGTTTTGTTTTTGCCTTTTGTTTTTATTCATAAACAAGCGACAATAAAAATGTGCCATAACAAGTTAAGGTTATTCTTGTTTAACGAAATAAACAACTCATAAAATTATGCTACACAAATAACGGCAACAACAAGAAGAAGACGGTTTTGTTTATATTTTGTGTAAATTTCTGTTCGCACCAATTAAATTCAATTAGCTGTCAGCAGCAGAGGCGACTCTATATAGACCGATGTGATAGATAACCCCAACGCCCCGACATATAGTATATGTATGTGTCTGCGGCTAGATGTAGCGCCACTGCCTCATAAAAGGTTAGTTTAAACAAATAAACACGTGGAATTTAATGAAGATACGTGTGTGGCTCTATGAATTCTTTGGCAGTGGATGGGATGTGAGTAAAGAGCGATCAAAACAGGTGCTGATATGTTAATACTATAAGTGGGCAAAATTGAATCCATACAAAAATAGCAGATGAACATGATGAATAGGAAGAAAAGTATAGATTTTTTGGAAAAGTTAAATTATTATTTAATAAAATAAGTTTTATAATTTAAAGAAAATGTAGAATATTTCGTATAACAATGACTTTAGATCAATATTTAACAGTAAAAAGTACGATAAATCTTAGTCCAACTCCATCATAAACCTAAAAAAAATGGCAACGACATCAGGAATAACAAACAAATTGCCAAAGACTTGTGGTCAGCGAGGAATGTGCATAAACATTTGCAAAACTCTCCGATTGCTGACACTAAAAATAAAACGCCCTGCCGCCGAACGTGTGAAATTATATTAGTAGTGAGACTAAAACTGGAATGGGTCCACAAATCGAAAGGAATTAAGAGGGCGACGGGGATGACGACGCGCCTAAAGCAAACAAATAAAACGCTGCAACTAAATGGCCAACTAACAGCATCAGCATCATCAACATCGACTGGCGGCACGCTTTAGAAATTTAATTAAATCGTCGGAGAAACAATAAAAACTACACTATGGCAAACACACACACAGACACTAAATCCCGGGACGAGGACTTTTATTACGCACTGTGCGCAGCTCTATCTATGCAATAACTCAAAAAATACTTGCCCCGTGTATCATTAAAATCAAAAATCACCCACGCTGGGTGGGATTTCGATTTGGATTCCGTGGAGGGAACTGGAACTGTTCTCGGATGGATCTTGCGATTTGCCATTAAAAATGTTTAGATGCACAAATAAACACTAAGCGGGCAATCGTTAAATATCGCCCCATTAACCATCCGTCGCCTGCAAAGGCAATTCCTCAATTCGTTTGTAAACATTTACGAAGAGGAAGAGATTTCACTTTGGGGAGGTTGTTTTGGGATTATTAAGATGTTTGTATTACAAATGGAATGAACTCGAAGAACATGATTTTTTCTAATATGTGCGAAAAAGCTCTCTAAATATTAGATTTATAAATACTAAAAATCTAGCCACTGTAATTAACAGAATGAATTGAATAAAATCTAATATAGAACAAAATCATTTCCCATTAGTTCAATGTCCCATCCAATCCCTGAGTCAATCAGTGCAAACGCATTCTTATCTCCTGTTTCGCATGGCAGGCAGAGGAAAATGGATCACACTATACCCTTATATCTTTTTTGGAAAATTAGTATGCAACCCTTTTGCGTTGGTTACAAAAAACGGTAATGTCAAGCGTGGTTTAGCGATACGTCATCGTGATTTGGCAAATTTGACAGGCGAAAACGTCAGAAGAATAGAAAATCGTATGGGAAAAAGGGGGATTGATGTTTGCATAAATTGCTTAACAATTGGGCAATGTATATATGTTTATCCTTGATTCATTCAATCGGTTGGCCAACTGACAGCAGCTGAGAGATTACTTCAATGATTTGCCAGAAACTCAGAATCAACAGCAACTGCAAC